AACAACACAGCGAACAAAGATCTATGAAAACGAAAATATGCCTGAAAAACTAGAAGAAGAGAGCTTTTGAATGATATAAGCATTGTTTACGACAAGTGATCTCTTCCTTTAAAACCGGCAGTTCAAAAAAAGGTATCGAAAACGGGTAGAACTTTTGAAACAACCCAATAGAAAAAAATGGAAGATGAGATGATACATTGGGCAGACGCAGACCATGGTTGCTGAATGTTTTGAAATTGAAGATCAAATAAAATGAACTGTGGTTTGAAGAAACAGAAAATTACCAGGCTCTCCAAAAATCGATACGTTAATACTGGATTGAAGAAAAGAAGAACACACGAAGCAGTTGCTTTAGAGCACAAGCCATGGGAAGAATAGTATACCAAATGAAAACCACATATTTATCTTTGAATGAGATAATGATTATTATCAAAGGAAAGATAAGACTCATCACAACATTGGCGTGTTAGAACATGCGCTCGGTAATCGGGCCAAAATCGCAGTAAAAGGCTAAAACTAAATTCATGTCTCCCGCCGGTGCACCGGATTTTGGTGCGATCAGCCATTTTGTGGGCGGTCCACCTGCGGGTGACAACCGCGAATGTCTGAGCACCCGCAGGTGGACCGCCCACAAAATAGCTGATCGCACCAAAACCCGGTGCACCGTCGGGAGACATGAATTTAGTTTTGACCGGATTTTACTGCGATTTTGCCCCAATGCACGCCGCATGCGTGTATGATAGTGATGTTGCGAAATAGTCGTCTTCTCTTGGTGATTGCTTTTTGTTGATTGGTGCCTTTTTCTTCAATGTTTTTGCTTTCATTCTTTCTTATACATCGCTTATAATCGCTCCTTGGGATCATTTGTGTTCTTTCATAACATAAACTTGTCATTATACCAGACCTACTCTATCTTAATCATACTTAATGGTGCCTTTTGATTCAATTTCGCTTATTATTTTTCCTTAATTTTACCAGCACATCAATAAAAGTAAGATCACCGTTTCCGTAGGACATCGATCTGACGGTTTTTCAGTTCAGATGAGATCGCTCGTCCAAAATGGCAACTTCACTTGCAATCTCTGCGCTGGCGTTGTAGATCGAAGGTAAGCTTTTCTTCTCAATTCAGTAGGTTACTTCAGGACTCCTTCCAACTCAGCAAATTTGCGGAGTGCAATTTTGTGAGCTTAGACTCAAATTGTTAACCACAAGCCTGATTTGACTAAGTTTCAAGCCAACTACAAGCTTGAACAAACTTGAAATATCGTAATCTTGTGTCGGGTTCAACAAACCGTTGAGGCGTCGCTAGCTAACTAAAATCTGTCAAAACATGTAACTTATACTATCCATTACCTATTGTGGGTAGCTTCAAGCTGACACGTGCAGAACAAAAATTTGCGAAAACGTCATTTACGTGAAAATCCTTATGACACAATACTTTTCCAGCAAAGAAAGCAGTTTAGCGCCCGAAGTATTGTCATAGTTCGAAAAATGTTTTTACAAGAAAATTTCTCCTGCAGAATGGACTTTTCCATAGCTTGTTTTCGCAGTTTCACAGAAGTAAGACCGGCTGCAGCCGTATATGGACTGCTGCTGTGTAAAAAAATTTACTCAAATTTATTTTCATGCAGGAAACAAAGAGCTAAATCTAGGTGTAAAATGCACGTTTGGTACCCATACCCCATCAGATCTTTGAATTCCCGTCTGCAAAGCCATAGCTAGTCAAATAACCAGCTATGGCTCTGGCTTCCGGCCTTGATAAGAGAATTTATTCTCTTCAATGAAATTTCCACAATGCATGCAATGGTTTTCTGCGGACTTTCGTCCACGGCTCTCGTTGGGTCACTTTTTGGCAAGTCTGTGGTCCGTATTTGAAAGAGGGGTCTTTTTTCTCGCAAATAGACCAGAAAGAGAATTCGTGGGATCAAGAATGAGCGAGTTAGAATGCGAAATCCTTGTTCAAATATGGCTCACATGAAGTTCGATGGCCAAAAATCCATTCTTTGCTCCATTTTAAACATGTTTCGTCTTCTCCACATTCTTTTGTTCCATTGTGGTCCTTTCTGACTTCGTTCCCTACTTAAAAGCGATCTAGCTCAAATTTTAATTAACCAGCCGCTGTAACCCGAAAATCGCAATTTTTCGAAATTAACGGGTATCAAAAGCTGTTTGAATTTTGGCATGATGAGGCAACAATCCACACCGAAAAGAAGAAATCGCAGTTGTCAAAACCCATCTTTCAAACACGGAAAAAATGATATTCAACTTTCTAACTCGCTCGATCATAGTCCCACAATTGCTCTTGTCTGTATAACCGAAAAAAGAAAGTCTGCTTTTTAAAACCCAGCCCGATTGAGGTTTTTGAATATGAAATGAATTAACGAAAGGCATCGTATTTTTAGGCGCTGAATTGACTGAAATCTTAAAACGGAAGAGATCGGCTTGCGCACATAAACATGATCATTTTCTGCATTTTCATCATGTTTTTGATTTTCTTAGGCACTATTTCGTCAATGCAAGGGATCACTGCTGAACGAATTCTTGCCTTACACATATTTTTTTGGACTTGTGAATTGGCAGAGGAACTCAAAAGTATGCATGTAGGCAAACTGGCAAAAAAGGAAAAAAATGACCATTCAAGGATCTCCCGGAAAGCACTGTGGATTTCCTAATAAGTAGGTTGTTCCGTCATTTTGTACACCAATTCGAATAATTTATTCAGGGTTTGTATTGGACGCTTTTGGCCTACCGGACAAAGAACTTCTACAATTTGCACAAGAATGCGACAAAGGCGTCAAAGGTAAAACTTTCGTCTCAAAAAGTTTACGCATCTGATACTGATGTTTTTCAGAAGAACCGGCTCAGGACATCTAACGTGAGCACTGACTTGAACATCATCGAAAAAACAGACGCCGACATTGCAGTAACCGATGCGGACGACACACATTAGTCCAATTCCAGTTGTTTTTTGTCAAGTGTTCTCCCTATGTAGTTTATTTGATTTTGCGCTGATGCAGATTTTTCTGTACCATGAAGTTTTTAATAAATACTATGGCTTGATTTGTTAGGGACAGTGAAAGATGACAGCGCGGTAGACGTGAAACACACCGGTATAGAGTATGTACTCTATACTTGTGTGTTCCACTTTATACTTGATATTAATATATATACCACTATATATGTACCCATCAGAGTGAACCGCTGCTTCAAGGATCGGGGCATTATGGTGTCTCCCGCAGGTCACTCTGATAATGACCGGAGAATGCCCTGTCGGGGCATTATGGTGTCTCCCGCAGGTTACCCCGCTGCAAACACAGGTGACCTGATTTTGCCCCGACACCGATTTCGTGTGACGCGCCGTTGGTCAATGAGATCACACCATTTTAACCTGCGGGTGACAACCGCGAATGTCTGAGGCAGCGGTGGGTCTGCCACTCGTCCGGCGGAGCCCTCCCATTTCTCCGGCGGAGACCTCCCATTTCTGCTCCGGATACCTCCCATTTTCTGCTCCGGATACCTCCCATTTTCTGCTCCGCAAGTCTGCCGCGGCATACTGTAATTAGCCCTAATTAAAGGCAGCTTCCAGGCAGATCTGGACCTATGGGGCTTTTACATGGAAAGTACTTTTGGGGCCCTAACTAAGGCACTGCCGAAGCAGCAGCTCAGGTAGTGCTCTAATGGCGGAGATATTCCCCTCGAAACAGACCCCCGCGAACGTATTCGCATGGATTCATGGCAGTTTCGCGCCAGGATCCACACTTTGCGCCATGAATCCATGCGAAACACGGTCGCGGGGTCCAGTTTCGAGCAGAATATCTCAGGCGTTAGAGCACTACTTGAGCTGCCGGTTGGGTAGTGGCTTAGGGCCCCAAAAGTACTTTCCATGTAAAATCCCCATAGGTCCAGACTTGCCTGGACGCTGCCTTCAAGCTCCAAACCCCAATTTTGTCTCTAAACCCCACCCAAGTAAGCCGAATAGGACCCCCCCCCCGGGTAGGAGTTTAGCGCGACCCTCACCCCGTACTCTACCCCCTCCCTCTCACCCCTAGCGTTTGTGGATAAAGATAGAAGAATAAAAAAACAAGACATTTATTTCAAATTAACCGCAATCAATCAATCAATCAACAACAATCATCTCAATCATATGGACTGCAGCATCTGTGACATTTGGGTCTCCGAGCATTGCCTGGCACAGAACGAACCGCGATATAAATTCGCACGAAAAATCTCGGCGAGAGAGTACACGTCCCCACTTTGGGTGGACGGTGCCTCTAAACTGCCCTGAAAACGATTCTTACATATCCCTTCAGAAATCAGAAGTCTTTTGAAACGTTTTGAAACACTTAAAATGCGCTAATTAGTCCCATCTGTCAAAAATCGCGCCTCTTGACATACACCCAAGTTCGAGATGCAGACACTTGCTTAAACTTTTAGCAATCAGGAATACACAGCCATGCTCGTGAGCCCTTGGCATCAATTCCTAGGAAGAAAAGTTTGAACTAGACAAACAGCTAGAAGGACGAATCAGAATACCACGACAAAGACACAATAATCGGCTGCATCAGAAGCTAAAATAAATGCGGATTCCTAGAAACTACAAATGCCAAGTCACACTAATCTCTTCCATCCGGGTTGTAATGTTTGGTAAAACTCGACATTATTTTGATGTGCAGACGAGAAAACGAAAGAAAAAGACTTGGTTGCGAAATCAACACGCATGTCGTAGCGCCAAAACTTGCCGCCAATGGGGCATTCCGGCTCTTTCTGGGCGCTTTTGGGCTTTTTTTTTTAGAGCTTTTGGGTGTTTTTTTTTTCGACGAATATGACGGGTCCCTCTAGAAACCCTCAAAAGCTGACGAGAAGCGCCATTTTAAAGATAAGAATTTTCACGAATGGGCCAACCCACTTCGGAGGCCCGCGGCAAAATAATCATGCAAAATAAGAAAAAAAGGAAAGATATGACAATCCACAAGTTGCTCACCGAATGTGGCTATGTCTGATTAGGACACCGGCGTGATGAATGGATTTTGCCAATCCCAACTTGAAAACCTGCGTCTGCAAACGTCTCTCGAGGAAATCTTCCACAGAAGACCGAGAATGTAATCGAGCTTCATTCGATCCTCAGGAAGCACTCCAATACGTACAAGACGGCGAAGAAGAGCATTTCCTTCGAAAAGTCGTTTGGGATCTTTTTCTTCCAATGTGAGCAACTCTCGAGCAGCCTTGCGCACCTTTGCCAGTGTGTACTTTACGCGCCAAACTTCACGTTTGTTCTTCAAATTGAACTCTCCAATGAGTTTTAGCTCCTAAATAATTCTAAGATATCGGCGATGGCAAAATATATCCGGTACACCCTCAAAAATATCGTACGTCGTAAAGGGAGGAAGGGTTGCCACTAGAATGAGTCTGCCAAAAGTTAGGCGCATTTCAAGGTTTTTTCAGTGATAGCCTGAAGAGTTGTACTTTAGGGAACGGCCATAGGTTCGCAGTGTTCGCGGTATCCGGTGTTAGTGGTGTTCGCGGTGTTCGTGATGTTCGCGGTGTTCCGTTGTTGTCGGTGTTGTCGGTGTTGTCGGGATCGGCCATATGTACTATTCCAGATGATATTATTCGATACTATACTATTATGATACTATGATACTATTACTATACTATGCTATACTATCCCACGGCAAACACTGCGAACACCGCGACCACTGCGAACACCACGAAACCGCGAACACCACGAACACCACGAACACCACGAACACCGCGAACACTGCGAACCTATGGCCGTTCCCTTACGATCGTTTCCCCCAAAAAGTAATCATTTCTTTCTCGAGCGCAGGAAATCAACAAATATCAGGTAACTGTATATAAGATTTTGCAAGAATTACAAAGGCAGAAAAGAGGGATTTATTAGAGCGGAACCCAATATTTACAAACATGTTAGTGCCTATCAAATCTCTGAAAATTTTTAATGAAGCTCTTTTCTCTTCAATCAAAGTACGCAGCAATAAAACACGAGCTAAATCTGTAGGTTGCTTCTAGATCAAAATCTTCAAGCAAAAGACGAACAGAGATGGAAGATTTTCACTCACTAAGTGTAAAGGAATGAAAAGATGAAATAGCAAATCGATCAGCATACAAATTATACCACAAAAATGAAGCTGACGCAAAATGCACTTTTCTCTGACAAGGTTTGGAAGTCCTGCCGAACATAGAATGTGAAAACGTCGTTACCTGGTCGAGACGCTCCTTCTCAAAAGGACGACGTGGAGCCTTTGTAACCTTCGAATGCACAGTCTTGATCCGAGGCATGGTTGACCCTACAGAGAAGCAATGGCATATGGAGAACTTAGTATATAACTCGAATCATTCCACGAAACGAGCAATGATAAACACGAGGGGGGCCAGTAAATCACAGAGTGGATAGATCTTTCACCATCATTGGGACCCGTCATACTTCGCCGAAAAAAGCCCGAAAAACCCAAAAAAGTCCGAAAAAGCCCGAAAGAGCTGGAACGCAGAAACCAAATTACTATAGAATTCTGACGTTATTTTGATGTGCGGACGACAGAATGAAGCAAAAAGACTTGGGTGCGAAATCAACACCACGCCTTAGCAATGAATGATTTGCAACGACGCGCCAAATCGATACGCAGCCTGCTCCGGGGCCCTCCCATTTCTGCTCCGGATACCTCCCATTTTCTGCTCCGGATACCTCCCATTTTCTGCTCCGGAAGCCTCCCATTTCTGCTCCGGACCCCTCCGATTTTCTCCGGCGCGACTCTGCCAGATTTGGCGGACTCGCGCCGGGCAAATTTCTCCGGCGCGAGTCCGCCAAATCTGGCAGAGTCGCGCCGGAGAAATGGCGTACCTTTGCAGCAGGGCCGGAGAAGCGTCCCATTTGCCTGCCAGTGATGTCACGCGACGGACCGCCCATTTGCCCCGCTCTCATTGGTCAACTGGGTCCGGCGCGACTCTGGCAGATTCGGACTGTCCGGCGCGACTGCGGCACCGACTGTCTGAGCAGTCTCCAGTTTATGCTACCATTTCTGGCGAAAATCTTGCAAAATTTCAGCGGCGTATAGCGGCGTACTCCTTATTCATCGGCAACTATATATAACTGAGATAAGCAAAGCAACACCCACATTTCGGAAATTGTACAAGGTTTTATCCAAGATTCTAATCACTTTGTCAGGAGTATGGTAGGCTATTCAGACTACACTCATTTAAACTTCACTTATGGTTGATCAGCCTATGTGACTTTTTTAGATGTAAGCACACAAAAGCAGCAACTTCAAGACAAAGATCACTCAATGTAAACCCACAAAGATATTAAGGAGAGTAAGTATCACGTGGCAGTGAGAACAACCTCCAATACGCAATTCAGCATGGATTATAACCGCCTTAAATCACTCCGAAAGCAAGCTCAAGGCTCACTTTCTTATTTTTCGTCATCTCCTTTTTCATCATTACGAATGTCGATAAATGATAAGAATGAAACCCATCTTTTGTAAGTCAAAGGCTGCTTTGGTATGCACTAGCTGCACTGCACCAGGATTTTCTTTCGGGGGGGGGGGGCAACAAAGATCTTTTTCTGATGAAGGGCTTGGCGTCAGCCACGCTCTCTAAAACATTATTTTTAACAGATTGAAATTTAAAATTTATTCAAAAATTATAGTAATTATTATTCACAAGTATAAACAAACAAGTTGTTTGCACATTTTTATAACTCCTATAAGTAACTTTCAAAAATTTCGCCACCCGTTTTGGGGGAGGGGCGCCCCCTCCCCTTCGATGCGCCACTGCTTACTGTCCTTGTCATGCAGCTATCCATCAGACCCTATATTCGGTTTCTTTGTGTGCTTTCACATTAGAACAATGTCTGAGTTTCTGTGATGATTGGATAGATGATCGTACTGCCGCGATAAAGTTAATGGCTACCTTATTCAACCAATTTCAGACGATATTATGGAGTGAATAAAAAAAACTCATTTTTTTATTGATAACATATGAGATCTGCGAATAAGACACGAAATTCCGCAAGATTCTTGATTCTGCTGCTAGATGCGAAACAATGCGACCCCTCTCTTTGAAAAGCCTGTCGATTTTTGTCACAAGATCTTCGATACCGTAGAACTGAAATGAATGCTATGGCAGGCCAGCTTGAGATGTCTCAAAACGGAAAAGTTGAATTGAAACACTCTATGACCCATTGAAGCACTCACGAGATCGAATTTACATCTATAAATGCTCAGAACTCAGAGTTTTCAGCTCAGAGCTTTGAATATACTTTTCCGTTTGAATCAAGAAATTGTCGAATATGCATTCAAAACAAAGAACAACTAATGGCTTGGCGTCGCTGTGTTCAATATATGCAAGCGGTAAGATTGCGCTTAACTACGTCAGAAAGGCAAAAAAAGTCAAGCTGGTCAGCAACTATTTTCCAATAAACGATTAATGAGCTGAAGGCTTTGAAACTGATAAGAAAATCCTTGTCTGAGAGATTTTATCTGGAGAGATGGGCAGCGGCGAGACATTTCTTTCGAAGAAGGAGACAAGAAATATTTTCGAACCCTTTAAAAATATTTTGAGATTCTTTTCAAAATTTTCGCGGGCCTTTATTGCCAAAATCATGTGAAAAGAACGGCAATGCAACACCCGAAGGAAAATTTTTTGCAACTACGAATTGTATTTCTGAAATTTGTCAAGGGTTTTTTGCGTAAACTAAATAATTCACCTGCCTGCCTAAATACTTTCAGTGGAACATTGGAATTTATACTTATCTCAACTAATGGTAATTTACGGCTAAGAAGTCAGGTTTTCGAAACATTCTTTCTAGAGCACTTCTCCTCACGTGAATTACTGAACTCACGTGAGCTTCATGTCTCAACTGCGCAGGAGTGAAGGAACGACCGCTCTAATACCCTTACCCACCTGAAGATAATCGACAAGGGACGCATTGTGTTGTATCTCTCGCGTTTCGTTTTTTCTGTCCCTATCTAGTTTATCGAGTGCTTTTAACTCATTGACGACGACGCCTAATTTTGCGCGGCGGCTCTGTGGGACGACGCGATTTTGCACAACACTTTCAGTGTGGGAAGGTTTCGTGCTTATTTACGAAATGCAACATTGTTATGTAAACAACTATTAACATTTTCTTGAACGACAGAGCTTATAGGTCCTAAGAATACAAAAAATTGGAAAAAATATTCATATGTGGAAAAAATACTAGACCTGCAAATAATACGACTTTGCAAGAAGTGTGGGCCACCGGGGGTCCACATCGTCCCTGGCAGCAAAAAGCGCGTAGGCCACCGGTGGTCCACATCGTCGTCAATGGGTTAATCACCTTTAATCATCAATCTTTTAATCAATAAAAACAGATGGATATCTGGATCGCGATTGATGAAGAGCACAAGCATCAATTTTCCACGTACTCTTATAAATGCGCCAAATCATGCTACCTTCAACTGGAACGGTATTTATCAGTCGCATGTACATCGGGCTCATGCCCGTTCGGGAAGCTGCTGAGGAGAGGAGCACGCCAGCAGCGCGAGCGGGCGCGTATCAAAAATGCCCGCTGGCGCAAACTGTGTGTAGTACAAATATAATTCGAAGAACGCCAAATCATGAGGCACATTTTATGGGAGACTAGCTGGCTTACCCGGCTCCGCCGTATGTTCCGAATAGAAAAATCCATTTCTTAACCGATCCGGACCAAGCACACTTCGGGCCCCGGCGGGTGTCACAGTCCACTTTTCGTTATCGATCGATGTCGATTTTATCGATTTTTTGCAAAATTTGAGCTAGGAGGCTGGAACTTGGCAGAGGGGTGTAATCAACCCCACGGGAGTGATCAGCATGCTCGATTACCCCCTGTGCCAAATCCCAGCCCCGTAGCTCAAATTTTGCAAAAAATCGATAAAATCGATATCGATCGATGGCCAAAAGTAGCCTATGACTCCCGCCGAGGCCCGAAGTGTATGTGTGCCAAGTTTGGTTCGGATCGGTTCAGAAATGGAATTTTCTATTTGGAACATACGTACACACATACATACATACATACATACATACATACATACATACATACATACATACAGACAGACAGACAGACAAACAGACATTCAGCTTTATACATACATACATACAGACAGACAGACAGACAAACAGACATTCAGCTTTATCATTCTATAATAAAGAATGGCAAGGTTTTGCACTTACATGTTGACAAGTTGCGGACTGAGGCGAGTGATTGCCGAGGGTGCGGAGGGTGCAGATTGTCTACAAGGCTAGCGTGTTTTCGTAGGGGTACAGGGGGTGGTAAATATCGTGTCTCCTCGAGGAAGGCGTCCAAAAGGGGTGTGGTTCTTAAGTGCAAAAAGGCTATAGTTGGGAAGGGCCCGACACTCTCGTAAGGTTGCTAACAGTACCCCCCCCCCCCCCTTCTTTCGCAAGTTTGAACTCTGCCGGTATGAATGATTCGGAACTCGCTGTCTAGCGTAGACATGCTTTAATAGTTCCTCAACGTTTACCCTTCGACTGCTCACATTTTCATTTTCCTGCTTAAGTTCTTGGCTGCCCATAATTAGTTAAAGTTCATAGCTGGCATAGTTGGTGAGAATTGATGAGGACAGTTCTCTGTTCTTGAAATAAGTTGGTAAGTCGTAAGGCTATTCTTATAGGTCTCTGCAATCATTTCTCACAACTCCAGTCTGTTCGCTGTTCATTGGGCATATCTTTCAATGCTTAATCTGTTCATAGGGCTCTTTCTTGATTTGTAGGTGCCAGTAAGGCAGTTCTACTAAAAATATTGATCTGTAAGCTCCCCTGAGGAGTTTTTTCGACAATTATCCAGTTAGCGGTTATTTGTAGGGTGGTTCCTTCTCAAAGTATCTGTCCGCAAGGGGAACATTTCATTTTCATATTTATAGTTCTAAAGGTGGACCATAATGCGCTTTTTTTCAGATATGAATTTGAAGAGGAGCGGAAGGGCTCGTAGAATCGTCATACAATTATCGTTCCATAAGCTTCTCATCAGGCACTTTTTAGGCTCGTACTTGTTTCTCAAAATGCTGATGTATAAGCGACTAGGGCACCTCCTAAAATTGTCGGTCTGTGTGCGGCGCGTAGAGGAGTTACTTGTGAAAGTTGGTTTGTATGAGGCGTAGATATACTGTAACCTGTTCTAATTATTTTTTCTCTCTCAGAAGACTAATTCATAAGGGACTCGGCAAGCGCTCTTTCTCAAATATCGGTCTTTGAACGGCTGCAATTTTTTTCGAGATATTGGTTTGAGGGTTTCCAGCTCAGTTCTTGATATA